CCAGGTTGGGAAGGTAGTCTGGAAAACCATGTTCGGAGAAGGCCCTCGGCAAAACACGTATATCCTGATAAGTATCTCTCCCCATGGATAGGAAAGGACCAACATAATACGATCCTTTTAAAAAATAGCAAGGTTACGAATAGGCCAAATGTTAGGGGCGTTCATTCCTTTGAATCTTCAGCACTGGTTTGAGCTGTGTACACTTCCAGGCCCCCAAAGTGCTCCTACGACGCTGACGTAGGGGCGGGTGGTAGGGGGCCTGCTAGAAGCTTCGCGGCTGCAGCCTGCTGCTCACTGTAGCTCTTCCATTGGGGTGTGGGGGGCGAGTGGGAGGAGTTGGGGAAGCGAACGGATTTGTTCTCATTCCAACAACGCAAATGAGGATCACTTTGCTTGCCCACCACACACACCTTCTATCATAGACCGCGAAATCTCTGAAAGTGCTTCTGTAACGCGGTGTAAAACACGAACAGCCGCCACACTCGCTATATATTACAGTCCCAACAAAGCATTCACTGTACAAGACTAAACATCTGCCACTGACACTAGTGACAAACAAACTGTACTCTCGAATTTCTCATCAATGGCTCACCATCAGCACTTTTGAAATTATGATATTGTTGTATGGAGACTTGAAATCATGAAACCCTGGAAGTACAGGTAGATTAGTTCAATCACACGGTGATAATCAAAAGCAGAGCAGCTTCATTCGAAGAATCTAGTAGTTTAAGATTCACGGTTTAGCAAGCTTGAGAGTAATTGGTTGCTACTTAAAAAAAAACATTTATAGACATAAGTTATTCTAGAAGATTCAATAATAAACCAAGCATCTAAGAGATTGAACATATCTATGCAAGTAACATATGAAAAACAATTATAGAATATTTCTTTTCGCTCAAACTTTTATAATCTGATGGCTTGGTCCAGGCCAAGCTACTTGAACAGTGTCACTGGAGATTTGTATTCGTATATTTTAAATTTAAAATTACGATGCACACATTATTATTGTGACACCGCCCAATGCAATGCATTCAGTCAAGCTCTCCGTATGGCCAGACTTGGTCGTATATACCGAAAGCTCTACAAATGGTCTAGATGATACCTTTGATATACAGGGGTTTGCAAAGTAGAGTGCGAAGTATGTGAAAAAAGAAATTGTAATATCTTTTTACATTATTTTAAACGGTAAAAGTAGTTATGACTATTCTATTATGAAATTGAATCATCTGGGAGTTTGTTATTAATGCCCAGTGCAAGGAGTTTTTAGGGTATAATATACATTTTTCTTGCCACTCAAAACTGGTCACGACCATTAACGGTATCATGCTATAGAAAAAGCATGCAATTTCATACTATATTTTTATCTTTTTTGATACTGCACAAAACAACTACACAACGAATTGATGGAGCCAATGAACAAAAGATTGGGGTACTTCAAATTGACCTTATCGGTAAAGTGGGATGCTCTGATTTGACGTAAGGATTCTTTTTCCACTTTCAAGGGAAGGGGATGGAACAATGCATGATTGGAAGGTCTGTAGCGAGTGGGACGTTGTCGGTAGATTGGGGAAGGTAGTATTGTGATCATTCTTATGGGATTCGAGAGGAATGCGTTCACGGAGCATGATGATGCTTTCAAATTGAGGTGGATGCACCAATTCGGGAGGTGTACAGTTTCAGGGGCACCATGAAAGCAAGCTTACTGCACCACCCAAGCCGAGTACTGTACATATTTCCAACAGACTCGTCTCGCGGTTCGGTGACTAATACAGTACGTAGTTGCCATTTTTAGGACAAGCGGAACGGTCTCGAGAAAACGAGAACGAACCTTTGACCAGATCGCCTTTGCCATATCGATTACCGTACATTTCCAGTGGAAATTGTAGGCGACTTGGCGTGTTACTAATATTAGGCTGGGAGGATGTAAAAAGCAACTTAATAACGGGTTAGAGGAGATTAGGCAGCTCGTATGTAATAAGCTGTCGACGTGGTTGTCGCCGGACCTGCTCTTGTATCGACTACCATTCCTCCGCCTTTCACATGCCCGACGCGACAATTTGCAAACCCTGATTGTGGAATTCGATCAGACCTGGATGTGTTTTCTCGCCACTCCACGCCGCTAGAAGGCGACGGCATTTAGATTCAAGTCACTAAGTAGCCGATTTGTACAGTGACTACTCTTACAGCAGACCTAGCGGGCACTGGGTGGCAGCGAAACCCTAAAAAAGCCGTGAGGTAGAATAGGGGTGCAAGCTTTATATATCTTCGCCATGCATAGAAGACCCGCCTAGCGCTGCAGGTATCGCCAACCATCGCAGAACGAAGCAGCCGCGTGCCACAGGGCGTCGCCGAAAACTGAAAAGCGTCGCTGGAACAATTCGAGGGTCGCAAACCGCCAAGCAGCACCTGAAGAATCGTCCCAGGGTCGCAGGCATCAGCCGAATCGCACGGACTCGTCTTTTGCAGGATGCGGTAGGAAGCGAAACCTAAGAAGGGCAGCGGAGTGACTGTATTCTGGAGGGACAAATTCAAGGAGGCGTGCAGAATGGGACGCGGGAAGATCGAGATTCGGAAGATTGACAACGCGACGACGCGGCAAGTGACCTTCTCGAAGCGGCGAAATGGGCTGCTGAAGAAGGTGCGCGGGGGGGTGCTGAAGAAGGTGCGGTGGGCGGATGGGCGTGGTGGGTGCCGGAGAGAAGTGGGCGGAAGAGGAAGAGGAGGGGAAATGGGGGAAAGGTTGGGTCCTGCGCGCTGCTCACTTCCCCTGCGCGGCGCCCATCTCGGTGCACCCATCCTGCTGCGCTGCGCCTGTCCCGGGTGCCCATCCCTAGCGGCTATCTCATGCGCGCATCCCATGCGTCCACCCCCTGCACCTATCTGCGCCCATCCCATCACTTGCGCCATCCCATGCGCCCAGTCCCTGCGCCACCCCTTGCGCCCACACCTTGCTCCCACCCCTGTGCGCCCACCCCTGTGCGCCCATCCCTGTGCGCCCATCCCTGTGCGCCCACCCCTGTGCGCCCAACCCCGTGCGCCGACCCCGTGCGCCCACCCCCTGCGCCCACCCCGTGCGCCCATCCCCTGCGCCCATCCCCTGCGCCACCCCGTGCGCCAACCCCGTGCGCCTACCCCTGTGCGCCCATCCCTGTGCGCCCACCCCTGTGCGCCCACCCCTGTGCGGTCAACCCCGTGCGCCGACCCCGTGCGCCCACCCCCTGCGCCCACCCCGTGCGCCCATCCCCTGCGCCCATCCCCTGCGCCCACCCCGTGCGCCCATCCCCTGGCGGCGTGGCAGGCGTACGAGCTGGCGGTGCTGTGCGACGTGGAGATCGGCGTCATCATCTTCTCCGCCACCGGCAAGCTCTTCCAATACGCCAGCACCAAGTCAGTGCCACGTCAGCACCCAGTCAGTACCATGCTAGCATTCAGTATGACGCCCGCACCAAGTGAGCATCACTCCTGCACCGAGTGAGCAGATGCGCCATGCGCTCATCAGCATGGTCGTCGCATCAGAGTGCACCCATACCGCCGCGGCCCTCCTTGCGCCATCCTGCCTTCGCACAAGCCTCGCCTCTCCCCGCCTCTCTTTCACCTACCCCCCCCCACCTCCCCCCCCCCCCAGCATGGACGCCATAGTGGAGCGGTACCGGCAGCTGGCGCTGGAGAGCGGCAAGGACCACCGCCCGCCGTGGCAGCAGCAGAACCCCCCTCAGAGCATAGGCCTCGCCACGCCAGTGCAGCAGTGCAAAGAGCAGCCCGGCGAGCAGCAGCAAGCGAAGAAGCTTCAGCTGCAGCAGGTGGAAGCCAAGGCGGGGGCGGCGCCACAGGGAGTGCTGGTATGCAGCCCTTGCCGCCCGCTCCATGCTCCTCCCACCCCTCACTCCGTGCCTTCTTCCACCCCGTGCCTCCCTCCCTCTCCTCCCGTTTCCCCCCTCTTGTTCTTTAACCGTTTGCGTTTCCTTTCGCACGCACGCGTCCCTTCCTCTGCCTTCTTCTCACGTTCCATCTCTCCTCCCTTCTACCTCTTCTGCTCTCTCCCTCGCCATTCAAATCCGCCCTCCTTTTCCCGCCCCCGCCCTTCGCGTCCTCTGCGCGCGCAGGCACTCAAGGAGGCAGCAGAGCAACGAAATGACCCGCGCGACTTGGTTTCAAGGTGTGCTTTCTTCCTCTTGATTACAATGTGTCGCGCTTCCTGTATTGTGCCCGCCCTGGCACGGTCCGTGCGCACGCCTAACGTGCCTGCGCGCGATAGTTGCACCCTGTTGCGTGAAGTGGGGTCGCTGGCGTGTGGGCCGCAGACTACGGATGTGACAGCTGGCATGAGGGCCCTTACGCAACCTGCATGTGCTTCCACCCCCGCTAGTCGTCCGCGGACCCCACCACCCCCTCCCCCGTCCGCCTTCTCCCTCTCCCCCTTCCCCCTTCCCTTCCACTCCACCATCTACCCCGCAAAATTTGGTTTGCAGGCTGCGGGATGAACAATCAAGGGCGCTTGTTTGCCTGGACACGTCAGCAGAGTCGTTTGGAGGGCTGGGATTGGAGGAGATGAGGCGACTGGAGAAGCAGCTAGAAGACAGCCTTTCTCGACTACGAGAAAAAAAGGTGGGAAGGGGAGGTTGGGATGGAAAAAGGTGGGAGCAGAGATGTAGAGGTTGGGCTCTGAGAAGGCACTGCTCATGCCGCTGCCATTGATGCTGTGGTTGCCGTCGCCACTCAGATGCCACTGCGCATGCTCATTCCACTCGTTCCTCACCTCGTCCTCAATCTCTCCCCCACTGCCCACTGCCCACTGCTGTCGTGTGTGGCCTCGCGTGTGTGGCAGGAGGAGTTGTTTGACCGCACCATCTCGCACCTCAAGTCGCGCGTACGTTCGCCCGCCTGCTGCCTCCTTGCATGCTTGCCTGTATCTTTGCCTGCCCATCTGCCTGCGTGATTGGCCCGTGCTTGCCTGCTTGTCTGTCTTCCTGCATGCCTCTTGCCTCATGATTCCATGGGAGCTTGGGAGCTTTACCATCGTCTATGCTTCTGCCTATCCCAATCCCACTCCCTGGACCTCTTGCAGGTGGAGAATCAGAGCAAGGCTGAGGCACGAGCAGGGGCGGATGCAGCTGGTGACGGGATGGGGGGTGCAGGAGGTGTGGGGGCGGTGAGAGCAGGGGATGAGGGCGCGAGTGGGGGCAGAGAGGGGGACGAGGACGGATGGGAGTGTCCGGGGACGGATGGGCAGGGCAGTGGGGATAGGGATCGGGAAGGGCATGGGGAGGCTGATGGCGAGGGGGATGACGGGGGGGATGGTGAGGAGGATAGGGATGGTGATGATTGCAGTGATGCTGGTGCTGATACGGATGCTGGCGGTGCTGATGCTGATGCTGATGCTGATGCTGGTGCCGGTGCTGGTGCTGGTGCTGGTGGGGCAGGATTGCCAGGCACAGCCACAGCTATGGGGATGGATGAAGGGGCGGATGAACTGGATAGTGACTCCGATGCTGACGATGATGATGACGCCATTCACCATGCCTTCCCATTGGCCGGTTCCTCTCGCCACACCCATGCCGTGTCGGCCCATGCATGGAAACACCCATCCCACCCGCACGGCCTTGCACATGGCATCGCGCACGGCACCTTGCACACACGTGGCAGCGGGCGACCAACAAGTGTGGCGGTGGGGCATGGCAGCTCGCATTCACGCGGGACACCGTCGCACTTACCTCGCACCACATCACCCCACCGCTCCGCACCGTTATCTGCTGTTTATGCTACCAGTGAAGGCGCTGCTGCTGCTGCGGCTGCCAGTGGAGTGGCAGCGCTGGTGGAGGCAGCGAGGGCCATGGTGAAGCAGGAGGCGCTGGAGGCGGCAGCTCAAGAGACGCACGCCATGGCGCCTCTTCCTTCCACTTCACAAGCACTACCCGACACTGCTGCTCGCGTGCACATGGGCCCAGATGAACCAGAGGGGGTATTGAGAGGCGACGTCGCAGCAGGTGCAGCAGCAGCTGGTGGTGGCGCTGACATGGCAGCACGTGCAGCAGCAGTTGACAGAGCTGCCAGGGAGGGTGCCGTTGGTGCCTTGCCCATGAGCGTGTCGAGAGGCGCAGGTCGAACGGATGGGGTTCCAGGCAATGGGCTGTCGATGGTTGGCGCCTTGTTGCGAGGGAAGCGCGGCGCAGATGACCAGCTGGTGCAGGAGAAAACGAAACTGCTGAGAAGGTTCTGGATTGATCTGGAGGCGGGACGGCAGGGGGGGGAGAATGGGCAGCTTCAGCCTCCTCCTCAGCACCCCCAGCAGCACGCACAGGAGCAACGCGAAGAGAGTGTGCCGTCCAGAGCGCATGGAGGGGGCAGTGGCGAGCGAGACGATGTGGACGTGGGGTGCACGGGCAGTGCTCCTGCTCATCCTCGCAGGGGCCCTGGTGGGCGAGACGGTGCTGCCGAGGACGCCGTGCACGCCCGCTGCTCAAGTGGTGCCCCCGCGCCTGCTGCTGCCCGCATGCCGCATGCCACGCCACCCGACCCTGTGCCTGCTGGAGAGACGGCGGAGAGGATGGAAGACTGTGGTCCCTGGCAGCTCCAACAGCGGCTGCTCGTGCTCCACCACATGCAGCAGCAGCTGCAGCACGGGCAGCAACAGATGCAACAACAGACTCAGCAGCAGCAGCTGCAGCACGGGCAGCAACAGATGCAACAACAGACTCAGCAGCAGCAGCTGCATCAGGAGGAAAGGCAGCAGCAGAATCAGCAGCAGCAAAACAACGTGCTGAAACCCGGGAAGCAGCGGCATTGGCTTGCACGGTTACAAGAGAAACAACAAGAGGTGGAGTTGCAAGTGGGGGAGGGGAGAGAGCAGCGAGCATGTGGACGCCCGGCAGCTGAGGAAGGGAAGGCGGGCAGGGGAAGGGCTAGCGACCTGTTTGGTGAGGTCCACGGTCACGTGCAGGCGCAGCAGCCATTGTGGCAGCAGGAGAAGGACATGAGGTACGGTGCGGCGCCTGACAGCAGAGTGCGACACGGCGGGGCGATGCCGCTCGGGAGCTTCTCGCTGCCTCCTGCACCCACCGCCCGTGCACTGGCCGCTGAAAGCCCGGCAGCCAACAACGCGTTTCCTGCAAGTGCAAGTGGCCCACACCAGCACAGGGGGCTGCCCCAAACTGATCTCAATATCGGGTAAGCTTCATCCCCATGCTGTGGTACCGTTTTCCTCTGTATTGTGGCCTCAATGTTTTCCAACCACGGGTTCCTACAACTCACCTCATTCCCTTCCACCATCCACCCCTCTTGTCTACACCTGATTGATTGTGCACCATGCATGATGGAATGTGCACCATGCATGATGGAATGTGCACCATGCATGATGGAATGTGCACCATGCATGATTGTATGTGCACCATGCATGATTGTATGTGCACCATGCATGATGGAATGTGCACCATGCATGATTGTATGTGCACCATGCATGATTGTATGTGCACCATGCATGATTGAATGTGCATCATGCAGGCTCTACAGCGCATTCGATGACGAGGGACTTACACCATATGAAGGACCCTACTAGCATTTTTATTATTTGTACAATATCGTGCTCTTATCATTCCAGTCGTGCTATAAAACTCGAACTGCAGTTTCAAGCCACTTCAAATATCGGGCATGGGTCCTCTGTTTGTTGGGAAAGCATGTATAGCTGTTACGGGTGCAATGGAACGAGATAACGAGGATTGCATTACCGTATGTGGGCTAAAGATACAAAGTACCCGTAATCCCCCGGATTCAAGACTCCCCTATAATAATGTACCCAGGTCTTTAATACGGGGGGGGGGGGGGGGGGGGGGGTGGGGTTTATTATTCTGGGCTGTTTTCCTTATACCCCCCTAATGGGGTGAGATCATTAGAAGACCCTAGGCAAATTCATGTCAGTTAAGCAATTAGTGGCACATGTTAGGCCACAGGGGTCACAAAATACAAACAAGACAACCTCTCAACACCCAGCTAGCTCCACTCTTCACCCTCCTTGAAATCAGCCCCCTCCTTGCTACGGTACTCATCTTCGTCACCCGCCACCCATTCCTCTACCTCTGCCCCCTCATAGCGACCAGGGGCCCACCAGTCATCCCCTTAGTCGCTCCACTCGTCAGCTTCGCCCGCGTTTCCATCGTCGGACTCACTCGAGTCTAACTTTGCAGGTACTGCCTCCTCATCGGCCTCCTCTGCTTCAGCAACCAGCACTACCTCCTCCTCCATCTCGACGGTCAAATCGGGAGGGGTGACCACGGAGGCCGGGTAGAATGGGTTGGGGACCAGTTCATCCTGCTCCTCCTCCATCACGTCCTCCGGCACCTCCACCTCGCCGGAATCTCGCATATGCGCCAGGATTAGATGATCCTGGCTCCCGTCCTCTGCGTTGGAGATGCCACAGGTGAGGGAATGCTTTCCTCGCCATCTCCTCGGGAACGTCGGCCCACGACTCGTCAATCCACTTCATGACGAGTCCGGCCGGCGTTTCTTCAGGTTGCCTGTGAGAGGGGGCCAAGGGAAAGGGATGCCAGTGTATATGGTTGTGTGATTCGACAGTTCTTACACAGACTTCACGCGGGTATTGCTTCATTCACGGGCTTACCTGCGGGTGTTGTGCTTGTGATCTGTCCTCCTCGAACCATTTGCCGTAACGGTGGCGGACGCCCGCCTTGAACGCGTGGTTGATAGACACATCAAGCGGTTGCACAAGCGGTGTGCAACCGCCTTGTTAGTGCTAGGCAGGAAAATGAATGAAATAGGAAAGTGTTGGGTACTACCGTAAGCCCCCGGATAGAAGCGCAGGCCTCGGATAAGCGCCAGCGCTTATAAAAGGATGAGGGCGCTTATATCCGGTCCTCGATTATAAGCGCACCCCTGAAGGTTTACGGATTATAAGCGCCACCCTTTGTATTTTTTTTTTATATTTTTACTGGAAACGCTATAACGAAACACAATATTGCATCCCCACATTCAGAATTTCGAAACCCTTCCCCTTCGCGTGACTCAATGCCTTCACGTCCAGTCATAACGAGCTGTCATGGGGTCAACCTACCGTATGGCCCCGGATATAAGCGCAGGCCTATTATAAGCGCATGCGCTTGTATCTGGAGCAATGCGCTTATGGCCGATCCTCATTTATAAGCGCACCCCCTGTAAAACCTTGATTTATTATAAGCGCACGTATAATTCTAAAATTTAAACCAGATTAAAACGGTAGCGATTTCAAATTTTGCAGTGAGGATACAACTATTTTCGCTTCGATTGACTTTCGAGGACCTCACATACTGCGCGTCCAGTCAGTATGAGCTGGCATTTCTGATAGTGACGTGTAAATTTTCCTCTGTGCGCCGGCAGAAAATCGCTCACGCGCGAATCTGAATTGCGACTCGCTACCACTTCGATTCGATTGAAATCACAAGAAGGATATGTACAGTTTGGTGCCAATGAATTATAAATTTGCATTTGTTATTATATAAGCGCATGCGCTTATAAATCTGACTCAATTATAAGCGCACCCCCCCAAAAAACACTGTTTTATTATAAGCGCAGGTGCGCTTATATCCGGGGTATTACGTGTCAGAACATATAGCTTACTTGTTTGTGTAGGCTATAGTGGGGTATCCCATAGGGGGTACAACACAATTAGGGTTTCCTATTTGTACTCACTTCGTTCATACTCATTTCATTCTCGTTCAATTCTTCTCATGGAATCAGAGCAGGTCCCCTCCTAGGGACTGTTCCTAGGGCCCACCGAAGCGCGCCCCGAGGCGCGCGCCTTTTTTTTTTAGCGACCCTGCGTGTCGCCCCTACCGTCGCGCTCCCGCTGCTCCCTCCTCTTACGGCCGCCCGCCCTAGTGCCCTGACGGCCGCCCGCCCTAGCGCCCTGACGACCGCCCGCCCTAGCGCCCTGACGGCCGTCCGCCCTAGCGCCCGAGCGCCAACCGCCCTAGCGCCCTGACGGCCGCCCGCCCTAGCGCCCTGACGGCCGCCCGCCCCAGCGCCCGAGCGTCGCCCGCCCTAGCGCCCGAGCGCCGCCCGCCCTAGCGCCCGAGCGCCGCCCGCCCTAGCGCCCGAGCGCCGCCCGCCCTAGCGCCCGAGCGCCGCCCGCCCTAGAGCCCTGACGGCCGCCCGCCCTAGCGCCCGAGCGCCGCTCGCCCTAGCGCCCTGACGGCCGCCCGCCCTAGCGCCCGTGCGCCACTCGCCCGAGCGCCCTGACGGCCGGCCGCCCGCCCTAGCGCCCGAGCGCCGCCCGCCCTTTCACCCTTACGGCCGCCCGCCCGAACGCCTGAGCGCCGCCCGCCGTCGCCCCAACGCCCTAGCGCCCGACGCCCGCGAGCCGCCCGTCGCAGCCGCCCGTGAGCTCCCTGAGCCGCCCGCGCCGCCGTCCCTGAGCCGCCTGTGCAGCCGCCCGCGAGCCGCCAGTGAGCCGCCCGTCGCGACACCAGTGCCGCCCGAGCCGCCCGAGCCGCCCGAGCCGCGCGAGCCGCCCGAGCCGCCCCAGCCGCCCGAGCCGCCCGAGCCGCCCGAGCCGCCCGCGCCGCCCCAGCAACCCGAGCCGCCCGAGCCGTGCCGCTGTCCCTGAGCTGTGTTCCTCTGCTGCTGCACTACCCGACTCTCCCAGCCCGGTGAGACTTTCAGCTGCTGCCATGGCCACCCCCAATGTCCTTACGTTTGACGCTGAGGGGAGGGCCATTGACTTTGCCGTCTGGATTGAAGACCTGCAGCTGTACTTACTCTATGATGCGATAGATGAGGTCTCTCTCTTTGACTTTGTCTCTGGCGCTGTCCCTGCCCCACCTGCTGATGCTGACTCTGCCGTTCGCTCCAAGTGGGCGACCCGCGATGCTGCTGCACGTCTTGCTGTGCGTCGCCACCTCCCTTCCTCTGAGCGTGCCCACTTTAGTCAGTGCAAGACCCCTCAGGCCTTGTACGACGCTGTAGTTGCACGCTACTCCTCCCCTTCCTCCGCTACCCTTAGCCGCCTCATGCTACCGTTTCTCTTCCCTGACCTCGCCTCCTTTCCCACTGTTGCTGACCTCGTTACCCACCTCCGTGCTAGTGACACCCGCTACCGCGCTGCCCTTCCTGCTGAGTTCCGCGCTGCGAACCCTCCTCCCATGTACATCAGTCTCTACTTTCTCGTCACCCGTCTCCCTGAGTCCCTTCGTGCCGTTAGGGACCAGTTTCTCTCTGTCTGTCCCACCACTCTCACTGTCGATCTCCTTGAGGAGTCCCTGCTAGCGGCTGAGAAGAGTATTGTCGCTGTAGGGGCCTCTCGGGGTGACCCTCGCACCCCCATCTTTGAGGGGTGTGGTCCTTCCCCCCTGCTGCCCTCTGTCGCCTCTGCCGCTGCGGCCGACCTCACTGGTTTTGAGTCGGTCGGCGCGGCGTCTGCCCCCAGCGGCAGACGCCGCTCTGGCAAGGGCAAAGGGGGCAAGGGAGCGGGTGGAACTAGAGGGGGCGGTGGAGGAGGCGGTGGGGGTGGCGGGGGGAGTGGGGGTGGCGGTGGGGGTGGTGGCGGGAGTGGAGGTACTGGTGGCGGCGGTGGAGGCGGAGGTGGCGGCGGAGGTGGTAGCGGAGGAGGCGGTGGGAGCGGTGGGAGCAACGGTCCTGGTGGGGGAGGTGGCGGTGGAGACGGGGGTGGCGGTGGAGGCGGGGGTGGCGGTGGAGGCGGGGGTCGGAGTGGCTCGTCCCAGCGGAGCAGCTCTGGGGGTGGTCAGCGCCAGCAGCAGCAGCAGCAGCAGCAGCAGCAGCAGCAGCAGCAGCAGCCGCAGCAGCAGCCACAGCAGCAGCAGCGCTCTCGCACCGTCCCCGGCCCTCAGCAGCTCCGTGAGTGGTACTTGCAGCGTCAGCGTGGTGGTGCGCTTGGTCCCTGCCCCTACGTTCTTCGCACAGGTGACCGTGCAGGGGAGAGGTGTGGAGGCGCCCACACAGCCCGCCGCTGCTTTGGCCGCCTGACCGACGCCTGGCGTCAGCAGTTTCCGGAGGCCGCTGAGATCCCCCGCTGGGGAGAGCTGTCTAGGGCTGGTGTAGCTATTTATGATCTTGATTTTGATGCTATTCTCTCTGCTATGTATGCTGTGACTGGTAGTGATGAGGATGACTGTTACCGGTGTTTCCCGCCTGACCCGGGCATTGGTACTGCCGCGTCAGGTACTA